GAGGCCTCCAGGAATTGATGAGCACAGCAGGCTGCAGTTTGGTGTGTCTGGGAGAGGTTGTTGCTAGACTTCATTAACTCCCGAGGATGGTCTGCCGTTCCTCCCCACCGAAGGCCCTTGTCTTCTTCATTTCCCTCTGGCCCCTGGTAAGGATCTCGGATTACTGGAACTGAGATAGGGATGCAGCTGCCAGTTTGTTCAAGTTATGGACAAGCCCATTCCCCAGAGAGTGGGGAGCCTGTAGGGTCCAGTCTAACCTTTGCCAGGTCCCAAGTCTGTTTCTGTCTTGAGCTGTTGCAGAGCGAGGGCAGTGTGGATGGAGTTGGTGATGGGTGTTGCCTAGGCCACTTCCTGCCCCTCTTCGGACTTTCTACTGGGTGGCACGTGTGAGTGTGAAGGTAGGGCTGGGTGGAGTGAGAGCTTCTCCTTGCTCTCCAAGTTCCCGCTCACCTCTGATGTTTGGGCCCCTCCAGGTCAGGGCTCTGGGCTGCTTATGTTTGGGGACCAAGCCTCGGTGCCCCTTCTTGTTGCTGACCAGATGCCAAAACTGTGCTCCTGCAGAGTTTGAACTTTTGGAAACCAATTAAAATGCACCTTTCCTGGGTGGGGTCAAGACCCTCTGCACATAGATCTCACCCCTGCTGTGGCATCCCCTCCCTCCTTTGAGCACACCAGAAGCTTCCATCAAGGTCCTGGGAAGGGGAATGGGGCTTGAACAGTCCTGCTGTGTGCTCTTTCCTTCACCTAGAGTATCACAGTGAGGGGTCCAGCCAAACTGCTGCCCCCAACTTTCCTGCCATCTTCCCCTCCCCCTCAACCCAGTTCAGAGGAGCCTAGGATAAAAACCACTGTCAAGCCGTAGTTAGGTCTGGGACTGCCCTGCTCACCGGCCTGACTTCAGTCATGCTGGACCAGTTGACCATTGTGGACATGGGAGGCTTCAATATGCCTTAGGTGATATCCATGGTTAGGAAAAAGCCTTTGTTACTCTCCTGTTGTGGGAATATCTGAAATATAGCTCCCAACCTGTTAGCGGTATGATACGCCAAGTTCTTGTTCTTTAGAAATCGAAGAATGGAAGATATTTATTGATAGGAAAGCTCCTGAGGGGCAGGAGGGGTCCCTAGTGGGGAGCCAAGGACCCCACTTTACAGAGAAGTTTTATAGGGTGAAACCCACGTGGGCCATAGCCATGAACACCCAATAAGGTTATGAGTATAGTCACTTAAGAAATGGCAGTCCAATTGCGAAAGAAGTCACATAACAAGTGTGGATGGAAAGAACAAGGGTTCTCCTAGGATGCGGTGGGTCCAGAGGTCTCTGGTCACCCCCAGGGTGGGCAATGCCTACGTATACTTCACTAAGCCCAGATCTTGGAAGAAGTATGTGGGTCTGGTCATCTCGTCTCCATCTTGAGGCCTGGTTTTCAGCAGATGTGCAGCTGTGGTGTGTTTCACCTTTGTCCTGGCCCTCTCCAGGATTTAGCCCTATCTGACTGCCTATAATATTTCCACCTAGCTCATCTGTCTATACTACTCCGGCCCATGAAGGACGAGGGCATGCCAAAGGAGGATACTGCTAGCCTAGTGAAGGCAAGAGCTCCTCCAGGGGCTATCATCTTTGACTCGCTCAGAGGCCTCAGGAGATGTCTTCTATAGGTGATGTCAGTCTTCTCCTGGGATAGCACAGAGGCCCTGCTCTGCAGAGTAGTCAACCTTCAAGTCCACATATCAGAGTGGAGAAAAGTATCCACAGGTGCCCAGATCTTCAGTCAGGTGTTTGAAGGATCATTGGAGGTTGCCGAGGTGATTCTTCTAAGGGAAGGGGCCAATCCCCTATGTGGTATTTCTCTGAGCTCTCCTCTGTGGTTCCAGACCCAGCCCTGATCTCCCTTCCATCCTTGACAACAGGCCTCCCACAAGTCCCCGGTGGGCGTATCTTCAGAAGAGGCTCTTGTTTGATGTTTCTGTTCCTAGCCACCAAGCTACAGTGGGGTGGGCAGAGAGCAGGCATGGTTCTTCTTTGCTATTTGTCTGCCTAGTTGCACCTCTTGTTTCTAAAGAACTTGTTTCTCATGTTTTGAACACTTTATGAAAGAAAAAATGAAGTTGACGAAGCTGGGCATACCTGTAATCCTACCACTCTGGGGGGCTGAGGCAGAAAGCGCGGGCAACTTAGCAATCTAGTGAGAGTCAAAGGCCCTGGGTTCATTCCCCAGTACCTCCCCCCCAAAAGTTGATAAAGACTTCAACTCTTCACCTGTGACATGAGGGGTTGCACTGTACGAGGAGCAAGCGTGTCCAGTCCAGTGCCTGGCAACAGTGGTCGCTCCATGAGCAGTATGGCTACAGGAAGAAAGCTTTGCTTCAGACACACTTACACAATAGTAAGCCATCCAACCTGTACTTCCTGAACTTCTGAATTGCTTTTTCCCCCTCAAGGAAAAGGAATTTGAGAAACCAAATAAAGCATAATTTCCCAGAGCTGGTTTTTCATTAATTGTGGCCTACACAGTCTTTCTTCTTCTAAGGCCTTTAACTGGAATAAACACATTCTCCAAAGCAAAAACTCACAAAAATCATCAGTAGAAGATATGAGACAGTGAGTAAACGTAAACAATAAAAGCAAATGTTGAAAATTGGGATGTTCCGATGCCATTTCCAGGAGACACTTTAGAAGAGTGTTCAAGATTAACAACATGGCAATTGTATTGGGCTGAACAAAACAAAGGACAACAAATATACTCCTAACATTTCCTCTTGTGTAGTTATAAAAGCTGATTATAATAATGTTATAAAATGTTCATTTATCTGTGCTCCAAATTGATTTTAGACTTTTGCTTGCTGGAGTGAAACTAACCCTCCAGTTATGACAACAAAAAATGTCCCCAGATGGCACCAAAATTCTCCAGAGGGAGGGGTGTAAAACCGTATCTGGTTTTTTTTCCTCTTAAAGTAGTACAGGTATGTACTGGAAAACAGTGAATTTAACCGAATATAAAGAAGAGGATTTTGTAAAAGTTTCCCCCTAATCCAATGGCCTAGAGATAAACACTTTAAATTTTCAGCACATTTCTCTTGTGGTCACTCATGAATATTCTTGGGGACTGAGCTTCCTGCTTCAGATTTGTCCTAGACAGGGCAGGGTTATGGGTCTGTATTCACTTCGGACCGTATCTAGCATGTTTTGGGTGCCCCTCCTGCAAATATTGCTTACTTCAGCCTACATGTGTTCTTAACTCGTGTGTATTAGGCTGCAAAATTATATAAAGGTAGCATACCGTTGAAGACTTAAAACCCACAAATTACTGTTGAAGACTTAAAACCCACAAATTAACCCTCTGTGACTATTCGTGTCAGGTGATATCATATGAAATTGCCTTTATGAAACAATTTTTACCTAAAAGGTGATCATTTAATGAGAGCTTCTATTATATCTCATGTTTCTTAAAATTTCAAGTGAATCTTGTTCTTCTTTTATATTTTATTTTTCACAATACTGAAGACTGAACCCAGGACCTTCACACAGAGCTACATCCTTACCCCTTTTTAATTTTTGTTTTGGGATAGGACCTTACTGAGTTGCTCAGTTGGCCAGAATGGGCTGGCGCTTGTGATCCTCTCTTGTCACAGTACTGGGATCACAGGCTTGTGTGGCCGCGTCCTTTTTCTACTTCTGTACCACCTACGAAGCGTGGGTGAGCGCATTGTGGGGGCCACGTTCAAACACGAAACACCGGACTACACATCCAGTGTGCTTCTGTGAATCTGCTCGCACCAGTAAACCCACAAAGTCTTTAAAGAAACTTTTCGTATACCTAAAAATAGCTCTGTCTCTATACTGCGAATGGGAGTGTAAAACAGTACGCCCACTGTGGAAAACTTGGCGGTTCTTCAGTGGATTAAAGGGTTAGCGTCTGAGGCAGCAATTCCACTCCCGGCCACAGACCCAAAAGGGGGGAAAACGGGCGTTTGAACACTGATTTGTGCATGAACGTTCACTGCGCCATTCCGAATCGCCCAAAGAAATAAACAACCCCTGTGTCCACAAAAGGCCAAGTGGATAAACAGAATGTGGTGCATCCATGCAACGGGCTCCTTTTCAGCATTGCAATGGAGCCCTGACACAGGGACAATCCTTGGAAACACCGGGCCAAGTGACAGAAGCTGGGCATGGAAGGCCACACATGGATGAGCCTCAGAAACATAGCAAGGGAAAGAAGCCTACCCAAGTCAGGCACGCACTGATGTGATTGCACCTGTGTGAAATATCCAGAGGAACTGGAAGGAGATGAGAAGCTTCCAGGGCTGTGGGGAGTGAGTTATGGCGCGTTACTGTTTAAGGCATAGAGTCTCCTTCCGGGGTGATAATGGGCAGTGTGGGAGTTGCACAGTGTTGCAAATTTTGTGTGATGTGCATTATATCGCAACAGAAAATAAAACTTAGGTCTTGTTACATAAATTCATCAGGAAATCTTTGTTTACGAGGGACTAATTTGAATAAAACCGGATTTTAAAAAGGAGGTCAGGAGCCAGGGTTTTAGCTCAGTGGTTCCGCCGCCTTCCTCACAAGTGCAAGGACCCGAGTTCGATCCCTGGTACCAAAAACAAAAAAACAAATAAAAGGAGGTCAGGACAATTCATGATCTCACAAAACTGAGAAGCCTGAGGCAGAGCTGACCTTAGGCACCAGCTTCAGGAACTCAGACGCAATCTCATCAAGCTTCTCTCTCTCCCTTCCTTTCTGGCTCCTTCTTTTGCTCTCCTCATACATCTGCCTGACCCTGTCCTTTAGCAGGTTCTGCTCCTGTTGCAGGTGGCCTCTTTCCATGCAGCTGGGCAAGAAGGCAGCCCACAGACTTGACTCACATAGATCTAGGCTCCCATCACCAGCAAGGGCCACCATCCCTTGACACACCCTCATTTACCTCTGTGACAGCAACAGAGAGGGGCGGTATTAAATGGGTAAAGTGCCTCAAAGAAGAAAGGGCTCTCCCGCGCTTCTGCCTGACCAGCTGTGAGATCATGAGCCGGCCACTCCGTCTCTTTGAGCCTCCGTTTCTCATCTGAAAACAGGAGGTAATCACAGCATCTCCCCCCTTGTGGGTTATGGGGGTCAAATGAGTTATCACGTGTCTGGGTCCAGGGCTTAGAAATGGGCCCGGAACGAGGTAAGCACTGTAAGGGTCTGACATTCTCATCGCCTCTCTCATCGTCATGATCAGATCATCTCTTGGTAGAGTCCAGGGGAACAGCCTGGTTCGGTGGCCCCTGCCTGTGATCCCAGCCACTTGGGAGGCTGAGGTCAAGGGCAACCTGAGCAATTCAGCAAGACCCTGCATCACAAAGGGTGTAATATAAAAATACAAATTTCTTCTGTTTATTTTATATAAAATCTAGGAGAATGATTTGATTGGGCAGGCATGAGCCAGTGAACTTGCCTGTGCTGGGCTTGGCAGCCGTACCACGGAAGTTCTCACAAAGGATGAAGTCAGTTAGCAGGAAGGAGTTGGGGCGCTGGGCAGAGGCACCCTAGATGGTTATGCGTTCCCAGGGCCCCATTCCGCTCTGCTAGAAATCTGTACACACTTGCAGCTGAGAGTACTGCTTTATTGTGTGCCAAGCATGGTTTTAAGCTTCTACATTTATCACATTATTTGTTCTTTTGGAAGCCCTGTAAAATAAAATAGCAATATTATTACAATCGAGGCAACCACAGACCAGCAAGGTCAGAGAGCCTGTCTGATGGTGCCTGGCCAGGCCATGATTTCAGTCTTTTCTGAAATTGGAATTCTCAACTATTCAGCCCTGTTGCCCTCTCCTTAGCAGCAGTTAAAGCAAGTTAATGAAAAGGGAAGGAAAAAAAAAATTGAGGCAGTGTGCACAGGTGGTGTTTATATTGGCTTTAAAATAAAACCCACAAGACCATGTCTTTTTGAGAGCCCAAGAATGTAACAGATTCTGCCTTAAAAATCAGCCTATGTATGAAGCAGAAGCAAATCCAGGAAATACAGTTCTGTTTGCAGTGCCATTAGGAAGAGTAAATGTTTGTTAGGTTGAATAGATAGTTACACTTTCCTAATTTTAAATTCCTTGGTCCCATTGAAAATTTTGCGAGTCTAGGAGGTGGGAATGTTTGTGGAAATACAGGAGAAGCCATCCTCCCACATTTCTGGCCTTCACACTGGCCATCCTTCCCAACAAGCTTGCTGCAGGACCCTGGGCTAAACACACTGGTCATCTTCCTGGACAATGGAAGGGCAAACACAACCTAGGGCGTGAATGAGTTTATTGTCTCCCAGCTGGGTCATGCTCAAAGCACCTCGGGGTGAGAAACAGGTTTCAGGACAAAGAAACTGCTACAGCCACAGTTAAGTCAGTGAAATTTTGCTTGTCTTGGCCAAACATCCCATCCTATTGACTAAGGAAGACAGATGCTGTTTAAATAAGGGAGTAAGAAGAATGCGGGGGCCTAGACTGGTTTCTCCACCGGACAAAGAGAGAGGCTCTGCTGCTTTGTATTTTGAGAAATGAGACAGAATGAAGTTAAACATACTCAGGAGAGGACCCTGAGGGGACTGAGGGATGGAGATGTTGGAAGCAGGTTGTAGGCAGATATAAAAACGCCACAGTGAAACCTGATTTAAAATGCTCGTTTAATAGAGCAGAAGCGAAACACTGTGGAAACACTGCTCAGAGGATTATGCAGAGGCATATGTGTAGCAAAGATGTAAGAATGGTGTTAGGCTACTGAACAATTTTCCTTTTCTTTTTTTCTTCCCCACTACTGGGGACTGGAGCCAGGGCCTATGCACTGAGTTACACCTAGTACCTTATAAAATTATGTAAAATAAAATTTTCAGACAGGATGTAGCTATGTCACTAAGTTGCCAGCCTGGGCTTGAAGTTGCAATTCTCCTGCCTCAGCCTCCCAGAGTACTAAGATTGCAGTCTTTCTTTTTTTCATTTGTTCTTTGGGCAGTGCTAGGGATGGAACCAAAGGCCTGATGCATACTTTACCACTGAACTATACTCTCAGCCCTCCTTTTTCACATCTTATTTCTTTGAAATCAACTTTTGGGTTTCCATGATACAATCAGTGCTGTTCCAATTGCACAGAAATATGATGACACCCATCACTTTTGAGTACCTGTATGGGCCACGTAATATTCTGAAAACATTCATGCACTTAGTTCTCTGGATTGTGCAGAGGTAGTTATTGGCACGGATACTGTTTTCCTGGATGTGCAACGAATGCCCAGAGTCGGAATCTTGTGAAGGGGGCCTGGTATTGAACCCAGACTGGACAGCTAGACTCAAAGTTTACATTTAGGACAACTTTCATGACTCCCTGAAGTGTGGAGAGGGCACAGGAGGAAGGAGATGGCCTGGTCCTGCCCCACCACTGCCCACAGGGAGGGAGACTCACGCAGCTCTGTGTGTCTGCCACTTTCCTAGTGTACAAACCAAAAGTCTTGTTTCCTGTGAATCTCTGGCCTGGGCAAACTTGGGTGGCTATCACCCTATCCAAATGCGAAGCTCCTTTTGTATCTTTTCTGTGAATACGTGAGAGTGTTTCATAACTTTGCACACATGCACACTTGTGCTTCTGTGCCCCATTTCTCTGGAGTCTCAGTGAACTAAGCTGCCCTCTTGTCTCTCCACAACCCCGTAAATTTCTGTGGAAGGGAGGCGTGGTCAGCCGTATACCCACCCCCCTTCTTGCCACGCTCTGTTAGGGGAAAATGGATTCTAAATGAAGAGGGTCCAATGTGGATGCTTGAGAAAGAAGCCAATTCCTCAAGGAGAAAATAAAAAGATAGAACGGACCATAATAATAATCTCTAAAAGGAGAAAGAAGGTAGAAAGGGTGTGTGTGACAAATAATGAGAATAATTTTCTTTTCAGAAGACAGAAAGTCTCAGCCAGTGGATGAAAGCAGCAGGTTAGTACTCAGGCTCTGGTTCTATACGGGTGACTCTGCACCTCAATTTCCATACTAGTAAGATGAGGACAGTCAGTCCCGTGTGGCCAACCGGAGAGCACTGCTGTGAGGACTGAACAATTATAAAGTGCCCTGGTGAGCTGTGCAGAGACAAGGCATTATTATCAGGTTCTTAAAGAATTTGCTGTCAGTTTTCACAGCGACCACTGAAGTCTCGTTCAGAGGAAAGCATCCCATGGCAAAAGAAGTGTCTAACACAGTTCCCACATCTGGACGCGCATAAAGTTCACCCAAGGATATAGGTAAAAGCGAAAGTGAGGGGTCCCAGGGAAGACTTCTGGCATCCGATTCTCCAAGAGTGGAACCTGTGAACGTTTCCCTTCCATGTCCCCTCCGGGAATTCTGGAGAAAACCGTCCTATTTGTAAATTGAGGGTTTGAGCAGCACGCGACGACAGGGGGCGGCATTCGCTTGTTCAGCAGTGCTGACAGCAGCATCTGGAGCTGTTCAGTACCCAGGCTGGAAGGCAGGGCTGGCCCGGAGACAGTCAGGCCCCACTGGAAATTGTCAGAAAGGCCCTTGACCTTTTGCTAATAACAAAAGGGCCATGAACTGCTCAGCACCTGCTGTGCATTACAACTTTTCACATATGGTAACTTTTTTTTGTGTGTGTGAAATTCAACAAACATAAGGCTCACCATTTTAAAGCCTACAGTTCAGTGGTATTTAGTACATTATGATGTTGGGAAACTGGGCCTCTCTGTAGTTCTACATGTTATCTTTAGGTAAGCCTCACAACATTCCAAAAGATCAAATATTCGTTACCCTAATTTTCAAGTGGTAGAAGAAACGTGAGAAGTAATTTGTCTGAGATTGGGTCATTCTTAGGTGTTGAAACTGGAATCAAACCCATGTCAACCTTCCAAAGCCCTTTTCAATACAGGAGCTCAAGAGGGGCCCTGGAAGGTCTCTAGTTTCATGGAAAATATGGAAACAGAACCTTGCCCTTTGCGACATCAATTTCATACCATGAGTCTAAATAAATTCACAGGGGTGATGCTTTACTTCTCTCCTCCCTTTCCCATCGCCTCCCTCTAGTCTGCTGTTATTTTCTGTAGGTATTCTCTACGTGGGGGCCAATCACAAGTTTAAATTTAACTACAAAGTAAATCAACAACTTGACCCTAACTTATATCCTCAGGAAACGACAAGAAAAACAAAGAACTTTTCTGAGTTCAAACCCAGAAAGCCACATAGGGTCTTCTGTCCTGGAGGAGACCCAAGTAAGAAATCCCAGCATGCTCATGCAAGTAGCACAGCACCCTTTCAGAAAAGGTGACCGCGCTGTGTCACCCAACTGGGACCTCTTCCAAAGGACACTTGGATTGCACGCCAGAACTTCAGGCCAGACAGGGGCAGTCGAAACAAATGAGGACACACAGTCACTGTACTTGTAAAAGCTCTTACTGGGAGGCTGAAAAGTCAGCACTCTTCGGCGATGTCCAAAAGCAAGATAGGAACAAACCATATTGAGAAATAAAAACTTAAGCAGTAAAACTCAGCTGGAAAAAAAAATCCATCCAAGTAAAGTAGCCAGGAAGATTTAAAGTCAGTTGATTGCCAAACTTAATAGGGGAGTGAGGAAATAGAAGAAAGGACAGGAGAAAAAAGCAGACCCGGTTGGATCAAATCTGTCTCAAACACCCAGCACTGATAAAACAAGTGGCAACATAAAACCTCAGGGAGAGCTTGTAGCAGACCAGCTAAGACCAACTAAAATGGCTCTCCAAGAAAACACATCTTGAAGCGGGGGCAAAATCTAAATGGAAATCAGATGACTTAGGAGAACAAAAGCTGGCAGATGAGTCATAAAAATACCCTTGACAAAAGAAAGTAACAGAAAAACAGAGAAGCATCCAATAAAATGAAGTCTACTAGTCTGGGGTCTGGTCCAGCAGAAGGTTTCTTGTGATCTGTGTAGTCACCAACTCAGGGGCGAGTTGCAAATGCTGCATCCAGTGAGGGCTGCTTCATTACTCTAGGAGCACGGGCTGGTTAGGCAGATGGCCTCTGTGTGTGTGTGTGTGTGTGTGTGTGTGTGTGTGTGTGTGTGTGTACAGCTGAGCAAGACAAATATGGAGCTGCCCACAGCTTAGCAAAGTTGTTCTCTAATTCCCCAGCTCCCCGACTCCCTAGCTTGCAGTCCTCAGTCTGTCTGCCTGCCAGGCTGGGCCCCCAGCAGCGTTGAGGGCTGAGTCCCACCGGGGCAAGAGTAAATAGCAGCTGCTTTGCTGCAGGTGTTGCAAGTAGCCGAGGTGGGCTGGGGCTCTGAGCTTAATGAGTGAGGGAGGAAGCGAGGACAGACTGCTGACACACAGCAGCCCTGGAGATATTTTGAGGGAACGTTTGGTTCCCCTGGGTTGCAGTACTCTGCAAGAGGGTCGTCCTCTATTGTAAGATTGTGATTGCCTCCCCCTTTCCATCTTGTGCACAAAGGGGTGTGTTTGGTTTGATTTTTTGCTTGGTGGCTAAGTGACCTTAGTTGCACACCTTTTAGTTTTCTTGTTTGTAGATGAAGGAAAGCATCACTTCTCTAGATACTTGTGAGGATGGAGATGGTCCCTGGGAACTCCAGCAGTCTAATGTAGAGTATGTGCTTGTGATCACAGTCACACACATTTTCATAGCCCAGTTAGCATTACCTTTGGTATAGACGCTAATCTCCCCTGCCCCATCTCCCTGCATCCATCCCTGTTCAGTGGTGACAATGGCCAAAGTCTTCAGTGCACAAGGGTCCCACAGTCCAAAGCCCCGACCAGATGCTCTTTGCATAGGACTTTCTCTGACACGCTGGGGAGAACTGACTTTACTACTAGTGGGACAGACACGGAAGTGTAGGCAGGAGGGGAGCTAAAATGCCACAGAGACAAATGCAACCGATAAAGCTCAGAAGTCCCTGAATAAACGGCTCCAGGGTTACTGCCCTGGCATCCTGAGCCCCCGATGCCCAAAGCATTCACCTGCCTCTTTTACTTCTGAGGTTGGCTCACGTCTCTTTCTCCTGTCTTACCCTCCCTGCTCCTTTCTCCTGTTGCCTGGGTTCCAAATAAATCACCTACGCCCAAGTCCTTGTCTCAGGCCCTGTTTTGGAAAACCCAACAAAAACACCCTTGTTTACTATGTCATAGGTTAGGGGCATGCATGGCTTTGCATTGTGCTTGCTGTTTTTAGGACTAAGAGAAGGACCTCAGCCCAAGAAGAGCATAGAATGAGGGCTTCCGCTAGAGCATATACTAGGTGCCAGGCAATGTGCAGAGAAGAAAAAGTTAATAGAAGCCTAACATGACCCCCAGATTTCAGACCTTTCTTATGGTACTGGTGTAAGTGATATCATGGCAATAACAATATTTGCACCTCTTCTTTCCTCATGCAGAAAGCAAAAGGAATAACTAGCCAGATTTCAGAGCTTAATCATGTCAAAGAATGGAAGTCAGGTACGGTGGCACATGCCTGTGATCCCCACTCTGGGAGGCTGAGGCAGGAGTGTCCCAATTTCAATCCCAGCCTGGGCAATTTAGCAATTTAGTGAGACCCTCAAAATACAAAAAAAATTTTTTTTACCAGGTTGGGGATGTAGCTCAGTGTGAAGGTCCTGGGTTCAATCTTCAATTCTGCAAGCAAATAAATAAAGAAACAAATTAAAAGTGCACAGAATTTCCTAAATCTTGTAGCTGTCTGCCATGCCAGAGGATGAAGTTTCTTGGCTGGATGACTTCTACAGAAGAGCCTCTCGGGCAGCTTTTGGAAATGCAGAGGTAGATGTGGTGTTAATTTAAGGTGGGGGCTGAAGAGCTAAAAATGCAAGAATTTAGGAAGAGTTACTGGGTGAGTGTACAGGAAGAAAAGTAGGTAAGGCCTGGGGGTGGAGCAAGAATGTAGAGTGACAAGTTTCCACCCAGAGATGCCTAACGAAATGTCAAGTACAAGTGAGTTCTCTTGGTTGTGTTTTCTGGGAGAAAATTTTCCTCTGCTGCCCACAATATCACTAGATTTTTTTTCAGGTGTAAAGGGAAAGTGGATCAAGACAAAATTTCTTCCCCTTGGTACTGAGAATTGAAGCCAGGGCCTTCACACGGAGCTACAGCCCTTTTTCACCTTTATTTTGAGACATAGTTTCACCAAATTGTTTAAGTTGCCAGGGCTGGGTTTGAACTTGTGGCGCCCCCTGCCTCAGCCTCTCAGAGTGCTGGGGTTACAGCTGTGCACACTACTCCTGGCTCGGAAATGTTTATAAGGGAAAATTACTTAAAGAGCTGAGTTTGAGGGTGTGGGGGATACCACATAGTTGGATTATAATTATACTAATTTAATTCTCAGTAATTACATGGATAAGTTAGGATATGGAGGGTCAGAGGAGTTAAAGCCTGGGGTCTCAAAGGTGGGCTGTGAGCCCAGCTCTGATTCAAGCCTTACACGCCAAGCGTGCTGCGAGTGACTTTGTGACATTAGAAAGTGACTCAGTTCTTGGATCTGCCCCTCTCATTTTTGAGGTTTCAAATATGCTTCATGTTGTCTAAGACTAGAAAATAAAGGACTTGTAGATTCACCAAATTGGTCCTCTTTTTAACTTTTACTCATCAGAAAGGAATGTCGTTCTTCCTTGCTTACTTTATTCACCTTCAAAATCTTGAGCAGTTCACCCCATATGTGTGCATGCGCGCATTACACACACTCACACACACACACTCACACACACACACATACATGTGTGCTTGCTACTTGGAAAAAGGCAAACTAAAGTTCTACCCAGGTTGCTGTATGTGTATTGCTGATCAAGTACAGAAGCAGACTTTTGCTTGAGTCCTCTGGACAGGAACAAAAGTCGCTGAAATGATGTCTGTCACAGCGTTTTAACTGTGTTAGAAAGGAACAGCGGGGACTTCGGTCTTCCACGCACATATTCAGTCCATAAAACAAACAAACAAATAAACAACAGTCCAGTGTCTTCTATAGCAGGTCCCCGGGTGTTTCATATCACGTTACAGGCTAAAGCCCTTACTCAGTAAGTGAGCTCTTTTTACGCACCGTGCACTATTTTATGCACTTAACAACGAAATCGGACCAAAAGCTACTGTACTTGTGAAGTAATGGAGAAATAGAGAGAAACAATAAGCCTGAGAACAGATGAGCTGCACATTATGCTAAAGGTGGTGGACTGTGTAGTGAAAGTGAGAAAGTCAAAGCCTGAAACAACAGGCAAGGGCCCGGAATAGATGAGCAGAGTTGCTTTTTGCGATTGAGTAGCCTGACTAGGCCTCGGGGAGCAGCTCGCTTGTGACTTGAATGTTAATAATATGTAAACAGAATGACTGGGAGGCCCAAAGAACTGTTCTGAGAGTGGTGTGGCTTTGAAACTCCGGGCTGGAAGCGTCGCCTGTCTCCCTACTGTGTCTGAGAAATTCCACAGGGAGGCAGTGCATCCTAGCGATGGCGCCCGCCCGGGACACGGAACACGGCAGATTTGCTTCTGCCTGCAGTGGAAGGTCTCAAGGCATCTGTCTCCTTGGCCCGAGTGCTTATCCAAGCCTTTCCACAATTCAGAACGGCAGGTGGAGGTGGCCAGGCGCTCTTCACGGTCACAGTAGCAGCACTAGTTTCCCAGTCGTGAGAACTGACTGCCGCATGCTCCAGATGAACTGGCTCATTGACCGTCCCTACAATCCCCCAGCTTCATCGGGTGATGCGGTGTCCATCTCTCAGATGGGCACTCAGATGAGGCTCAGAATCACAAACGTAGGTGGGAAGCGGAGTGTGCCATAAAGACTTCGGAAATCTTCGGACCCTGAGTTCATGGGAGGAAGGACTTGCACAAAGGCGCTCTGAAACCCACTGAGGCAGGTGGAGCAGGACTCGGTGAATTTGAAAGGCAGAACCTTGGAGATCAGCAGTAAGATCGGATGGTAATGGCCTGTGCCGAACGCTTCACATGCAAGGGGTGACTGGAACATGTGGGGAACGTTGAGATTAAAAAATCAGTACAGTAAAAGATAGCTTGCCACTCATCCCCATGCGTATACCCTCCCTTGCTTTGAACACACTTATCACATCATCCCACTTCCCGAAGCAGTTCTGGAAAACCCCTTTAGTGAGTGGTTTTTTGTTTGTTTGTTTGTTTTGTTTGTATTTTGGGGTTTTTTTTTGAGGTGTGATTAAAACATATGGTGAATGTTGTTGCTGAGCTCCATCCAACGGAAAGGGAGGTGTGTGAAACATCAGTGTGTCTTCACGCTTCTTTTCACCAGATCTGGCAGATCTGGCAAAGCCAAAATGATCACGAAAGGTAAATGTTTTGCATCTCTTCAGAACCTCGAGGCACCCACAATGGCACAACTGAAGATAGAAAAGAGGTTTTGCAGAACTGCTTCTGCAAGTGACGAGAACAATGGATAAACGTGCTTCAAGGGAGGAGGAGTATTCTAGGAGGGATTCATTGGACTGTGTCTTCACCCTAATCATGTTTTCAAATTCTTCATTTAAGTATTCACCCTATTTTATGGTCATACTTCATTTTTATCCCACATCCTGTGGTTCACTGATCCACACTTGGCTCCAACAGGAGTTAATTCATCCGGTCCCTTGGGCAGCAGCGCGGAGAAGCCAGGACCCAGGCTGAGTCCATGGCTCTGGGTGGAGCCGGACGCTGTGGGTGCGTCAGAGGCTGGGAGAAGGGCACCTGCAGCTGTTGCCATATAGGTGGGGCTGAGGTCCCACCACTCCTGCACTGTGGAGAGATGGATGAGGCCCGGAGAGCCTGAGGCTGAGTGTTCCTGGTGCTAAAGCTGTAGTCAGCCCTATCTGGCTGGCCCCTCTGATGCATTGTTCTCTTGTTCTATGCACCCACTTCCTTGCCTGACT